CCACGAATGCCAGGCGTGCGTGTTTCCTATCGTCTCCTAAACGGCCCTTCATCGTCCATGCTGCCCTGAACACCCCACCCCACCCCACCCCACCCCGCCCTCACCTCCACCCTCACCTCCACCCAAGGGCAATAGCATGATCAAGCAGTACTGCGTCAAGGACGGGCTTCCGTGGACACTTCTAGAAGCTGCGTGTTACGGTGTGGTGCTGCAGAAACTGGTACGTTTGTGTGCTTGCCCCCCACGCGTGTTTTGCACTTTGTCGCTTCCCATCACCCTTCGCTTCACTGCTTCAATGCGTCGGGGGAGTTTTTCTTCTCTGCGACAGACCACCAGAGAATTGTTTGAGTGTGTAGCTATCAGCGGCGGTCCATGTATGGTGTGGGGGGGGGGGACAGGGGGGCCATATCGTCACCCCGCGGCCGCTACCCGGCGAAACCCTGCCTTCCCCGGTATTTCGGGGCACCCTCACCTAGTCACCCTAGTCAATTTCTCAGTGGATCGCTTTGGTTCCGCACCCACCACCGTCATCCAACGGAATCCCTGGTCGGCTCGCGAGTCAACTTTATCCCAGGTCACCACCGTCCATCGACTAGGGGCACTTTACCTTCCACCTTCCACCATCGAAAGGATTTTCGACCCTGACAGATCTCGATCCCGGGATCTCCCGGAGGCAATGTTTCGTGCCTTACCAGTAGTGTCTAACCTGAGTATGTATGTATGTATGTATGTATGTATGTATGTATGTATGTATGTATGTATGCGTGAACTGCTTTTGGATTCGCCGTTTGGTAAAACAACTTCTGCACTCCCTCCCCCTTCTCCTCCTGTTCTTCTTCTTCTTCTTCTTTCTCCGCACGCTGCTGCTCCTCCTCATCTTCCTCTTCAGACTCCACAGACGTTCGAGGCGGAGGCTGCGGTACGTTTCCTGGCCCGAGTGAAGGGCTGGAGACCGGCAGTAGCGGCAGCAGCAGCAGCAGGAGGAGGAGGAGGTGGAGGGTGCCATGAGCCGCCGCCGCCGCCGGCGGCTCTAGTCCTCAAGGTTGCCGCCGTCATGGCGGCAGCTGCCGCAAAGTACGACCTGACGGACTTCCTCCAGCGGGAGAACAGAAAGAAGAAACCGCCACTGCAGCACGAACACCAGCACCAGCAATATCATGCGCCCTTGCCGGCAGTGGAGTTAGCAACAGCAGCAACAGCAACAGCAGCAGCTGGCGCTGCCATGCATGGCGCAGGACGGCTGGAGACGGCTGGGACAGGAGCAGGGGCGGCGGCGGCGGCGGCTGCGGCGGCAGCTGGTCCGACGCCTCATTGCAATCATGCTGCGCTCGGCAACGGCCTGCCGTGCAATTCTGTCCATGCCACCAACTCGCCTATCGACACTGTAGGTGTGACGGCGCCGCCGCCGCTGGTTGAAGCTGCGGCTGCCAACACCGCCAACACAGCCACGGTCACCATGGAGGCGATGACGACGACGACGACGGCCTCACACCCCGTTCTTTTTCAGCGCGTCTCTGGCGGAAGGCCCGACGCTGCTGTGCGCAGCGGCGGCGAGGTCTACAGCAGTGACGGCGCCGCCGCCGCCGCTGCAGCTACTGAAGGCGACGTCACCGCCACCATCCACGCCAATAACGGCAATAACGATAACAACGATGAACGGCGGAAGAAGAAAAAGAAAAAGAAGGACAACACGATTAGCAAGAAACGAAAGAAGGAAGGCGACGCAGCGGCATCGGTGCGGAAGAAACGCCGGCGCAACGGCTCGTCAAGCGGCGGTTGCGACAGCACGAGCCGCTTAGAGGCCCGTCTTCGCGCTCACCTAGCCCGCCACAACGTGACTAAGCTACGGCGGCGCAATGTGTCTGAAGGCGTGGGCTGGACGTTACTTGACCTGGCGGAGAAGGATCGCTACGTCCGGCTGCAGCAGGTGGGCGGGGTTCGCTGGTTACGAAGATGCGATGAGATTTGAAAAGGTCTGCGTGGTGACGTGAATGATGTGTGGTCGGCGGCAAAACTTTACTCCAGCTCACGTCATCCCTATTTTTTCTCATGTCAGTTTTATTATTTTTTCGCCGCCTTTACACCCACCTTTACTATTTTACGGCTTGGGTCCAGTGCTCTTCTTCCGCTCTTGTTTTAGCCTTGGCGGCTAGGTAGGTAGGTAGGTAGTTTTCCGCTGTCGTCATCACTACATCATCCCGAGGACTGCTTTTTCATAACCGCCGACTGGTCAGTTCTGCTTCCTGCTCATCTGCCGCAGCACTCTTTCCTTGGCAGCAGCTTCACTCGCTCGTGGTTCGTCTTTCCCCCTCATCGCTTTGGACGGCAGTTTGTAATTTTTGGACGTCGGGGCAGTTGTCGTTTTTCCTTCTTGGTATCGCTGCCCGCCGCATATGTCCCTTTCCTCCTCCCAAACCCTTCGGTAGCTGGCTCTTCGTCTTTGTTCATTACGATTCCTCCCCTCTTCTCCCCTCTCCTCTTCGCGCCCCTCACCTCGCGTCCCTGCGCTTATTCTCTGCCCCCGCGGGGGCTGTCCTGTTGTGGTGTACGGCATGTTCCAGGGCTGTGACGAGTTGCAAGCTGCTGACGTAATTCGCGAGCTGTTGGACTCCAAAGTGGGGTCTGAGCGGCAGCTGACACCGGCCGCCATCCAGGCGGTACGTGCGGGCTACTGTGGGGCTGTTGCCGGGGAGCCCCTCCGGCGGTGGAAGCTTGTGCAAAACATGTGTATATTAGCCAGAATACATGTGTGCACGTGGACTTGTCTTTATGTATGTTTGCGCGTTTGTTAGTCGTACAACTGCACAAGAACTCTTCCATTTGCGGGTGTGTGGGGTGGGGGTGTATGGGGGGAGCCATCACCGCAGGAAGGAGAGCGGGCGGGCTCCGACGTGGCAATCAAGGAAGGAAGGTGGCACGCCAAGTCTGGTCTACTTCATCTGTTTCCTGTATTGAATGCCCCTTCTTGTCCTCGTTTTCCTCCTCCTCCTTCTCGGTCTTCTCCGCATCCACACGTGCCCGCCCTCCCGCCCCGCGTCCCTAGGTATCCGCCTCGGTGTGTAAGGCCCATGAACAGTACCAGATTGGCGCCTTCGTGGCGGCTGAGGTGCGCAGAATTCGAAAGCAGCGGCAGAAGAAGCAGCGGCTGCGACTCGCGCGTCAAGCGATGACACCGGGTGGTGGAGCAGGAGGAGGAGGAGGAGGAGGAGGCCAGGGGCAGGCGATGGGCGATGCGGATAATGCGGATAATGCGGTGCGGTGGGGAAACGTTGGGGCGCCGGCGGCTGGCAATGACAGTGGCAGTGGCGCTGTCGCAGAGATTGAGTACATTATCATAGATTGATGAGGGCGGTGTTTAGGATTGGGCGAAGAATTGGGCGAATGTTGGGTTTGCGAGTGGAACCTGTCCAACCAGTCCCTAGGCGCGGAACTCGCACATAAGCATATAATGTACAGTGGTGTTGCTGTTTCGGTTTGTCTGTATGTTTGTTCTGCGGGTGCTGCGGTTCGTGGGGGGCCAGGGGGAGGGAAAGGAGGGGATTGCTGTCAGAAGGGACGAAAAAGGCCGAGGGGGGTTTGCTTCAAACTGGTACCTATGTATGTATGTCGTTACAGGGTGGTTAAGCTTCACCAGCGGCCCCCTTTCCCGAGGCAGTTCCCTGCTCTCCCCTGCTAGAGGGGCACCCTAATCTATGTATGTATGTATGTGTGAGTTTTTGTTTGTGTTGAGGTGAAGGTTAAGGGTGATGGTGAATAAGCGCGTGTGTATACGGGTATGCGGTGTGTTAGTGCGGGTTAGTGTATGTGTTGCCGTCAGCTCAGTCCGCTGCAGCTCTTCTTGTTGGCACGTGACGTAAAACGTGGAATGGTCTAACCGTTTGTGGGTGGGCCTGGCTTTTGCGGTATATTTGGCTCTGCGTTCACAGCACGTACAGCAGGGCAGGGCAGGGCTCGGGAGCAGGACTCTCTCTTCATTTTAAGTTATATAGATAAAATGGCCGCCGCTAAGTTTCCACGGCAGTGTATACAGATGGTGCATTTAGAAAGTGTGGCTAGGTAATTGCTATAAGGAAAAAATACGGGCTTTCGTTCTGAGAGCTTTTTTTTTCTTGGTGGCGGAACACCTCCTTCGTGGTGGGGTGTGGGACTCTTCGTTACAGTGGACGTGGCGGTGGTGGTGGTGGTGGTGGTGGTAGTGGTAATAGTAGTAGTGGAATCCTCAACTGAAGCAGCTCTGATGCTAAACAACTCTGATGTTAAACGGCGCTGCTATGGACGCGGCTAGGTTAGTGGTTAGTTGTGTAGGACTAGCAGTTAGCGGTTAGCGGTTGTTGTCATACGACACCGAAAGCAGGTGGAGCCTTTAGAGAATTAGGTCAGGTCCAGGATCAGGTTCTCGCGTAGGGGGCGTGTTTGCCGGAATATCCATGGGAAACTGTTGTACAGCATTTGTACGACCCGTACAGCATGTCGCTTGCGATGACATCTGGTGACTTACGTTGGTAATCGCATGACCTCAAGAGCCATTGAAACATTTAAAAGCCGTATCGTACAAGATTATGAGACAGCGGACTAGGCTCTACAGCAGACAGCAAGGACAGAAGAAAGACAAGTATCCGTATTCTACGTTTTCCTTCGCTTTCATTAGGACTACTGCCTGAGATTAGAAGTAGGGCGTTCGGTGCTCTGGCGCCATGGTTGACAGATCTGATGCCTGCCAAGGACTACAGGAAAAATGGCAGCCACAACTACTAACCACCTTATTGCCAGCCATCGACACATCGAGGCACACAATGATTCCAGTGAGTCCATGCATTGATAAAACGTCTCTGGCATAAACGATCGTTTCTGTCGCAATATCTAGGACTTTGATATTTGATGGTCAAAATGGGACCAACATCGGTGCAAGTTATCGTTATAATGGGCGTAAGTGGTTGTGGGAAGACCACGGTAGGCAAGCTGCTAGCTGAAAGACTCAAATGTGATTTTTTAGAAGGTGATTCTGTCCACCCCGCTTGCAACATAGCAAAGATGGCCAGTGGAGTGCCGCTAACGGACGAGGACAGGTTACCTTGGTTGCTGGACATCCATGAAAAAATCGAATATGTAAGACGGAAAATTACTGGGCACTCCATGATGCAATGTTGCCATGTACCGCTTCCGGAGCACAGGGCGCTACATACACCAAAGGCCAATATTTAGGTGCATGGCAAACAAATTCTTATCGTAAATAGTTCCCCTTTAACCCAAGTCGACTTATCGTGTCTCACGAAGTCCCCTCGGCCCTCCCAAAAATACGCCATCTTCCAGCATTTGGTCCACGGCAAGCGCCTGGTTGTGTCCTGCTCGGCCCTCAAGCCCGCCTATCGCCACATTCTCCGGCATGGCATCACCCCGACACCTCCTCTTCCCGTAGCCGCGCCCCCGCCATCCTTATCATCCTACGCCCTCAACCCAGACGCAAGAATGCCCCGACGATCGGCTATTGCTGAGAAGGAAGAGAAGAAGATCCCCGCCATTAATGCCTCTGCGGACGATATCGCCAAGGCTGGCGAGGTCCTATCGCCACCGTCACCGTCGTCATCGTACTTATCGTCCGCTGTTGCGTTCGTACTCCTGGATCCCTCTCCAAGGGAACTGCGCCGACGGCTCCGAAACCGTGAACGCGCCGGCGGGCATTTCATGAAAGCCTGTCTGCTCGATTCGCAGCTTGCAGCTCTGTCCTACAGTGAAGACGAGCTGCTCGCGCATATCCGCGATGGTGACGGAGGCGGCGACCATCAGGGGAATGTAGGGGCCCGGGACGGCTGTAGCAGTAGCACTAGTAATATTGGCAGTAGCGGCGGTGGCAACGGCGGGGATGGCGGCAACAGGAAACAGAAAAACAGCCGCGTTGAAGGAGAAGATAACAACCTGGCTAGTCGTAGCGATGGCAGTAGCGACTGCGAAGATGACCGCAATAGTCAAATACTTGCTGGTCATCACTGCTGCGATGATGTATCCGGTCGAGGCGGTTACAGCTCGAACTTTCCAGATCCAGAAAGCATTGTGGACCAAGTGCTGCAACGGCTGTAGCAGCAGATGCATGCTGCCGAACACCTGTCTTCTTGGTGACTTCAAATAGCGCAATAGATGAAAGCAAGGCAAGCGACCAAAAAGCAGCTTTTCAGTGCGGTTGCGGCGAATACCAAGGAGCTGATACTATGTATGTCTGTAGCTTTGTATGTACTGCCGCAGCCGCCCCCCAGGACATAAACCCCACACCTCAAGAGTGTCTGGCATTTTCAAGCCACTTACCAAACCAACCATCTGTAACGTCGCCCTCCATAATGCTTGACTGAATTCATAAATCTCGATTTTACTGTGTGTGCGTGTATGATTTGGGGGCGCTCTGAGTCCTTCCTCGACAAACACGAGCGCACGCCCTCACGCACGCAGGAAGTACATCGACAAATCAACAACAATAACAACAACGACAACAACAAGTCGGATGGGGTGAACGGACTAGGGTGCCCCTCTAGCAGGGAAGAGCAGGGAACTGCCTCCAAGGGAAAGGGGGCCTCTGGTGAAGCTGTACCACCCTGTAGCAACAACAACAACAACCGTAATACAACACAACACAACACACGACGCGCACAAAGTCCAAACAGAAGAGAGACCTGCCGCGCCGCCCTGATCTCCAGTACCTTCGCACTCAACACGCATGCGGCCGTTTGCATTATGTTCCCCTCCCTCCCCTTCCTCCCTCCCCTACGTGCACACGAACAGCAACCGCACAAGCCTGTCCCGGCCGGGGGGGCTCCCCTTTGGGGTGGAAAACCACGACCAGGCGTAGACACATTCTTATTCACACGCTGCTCCGAAGCTCCAGAACCGATGTGCGATTCCGGCACAAGCTAAGAACCCTGCGACAGCAGGGCCCACCGGACCCAGGCAGGGTAGGCTCGGATAGGCTCGCGGTATGTTCGGATCGATGGACCACGATCGATGGACTGGCGACACCACAACCTCTCAGCCCCTTAGTGCCTTTTCATGTGTTTTTTTATGCACCAACAGGGTGATCGACACACCAGGCCTGGTCGGTCGTCGTTATCTGACAGCTTTTTTCTTTTTCCTTTGTGAATGTCTGTCTGCGGCAAGATCATCATTTTTGTACATCTGTGTCGGTGTTCAGCACCTTCTTGCTTCACAGTCCCTAAGGCCCAACCTGCAAGTGTACAGCAGCATCCGTACAAGCACATACACAAGCAACATCGACAGACAGAGAGAGAGACAGTTATACATACATACATACATCTGCACCGTGTCTAATGTTGCCACTCGTGTAATGCGTGTCACAATCACACACAACCCAGACCAACACACCGACAAGCCACCGACCCCTCCAGCCCCAAGAACCACACACCGTCTCCACCTCCACATACTCCCACTCCCCTACCCTCACAGTAAGGCATCATCCCTGCCGCCGCCGCCGCCCCGTGGCCCCCGGGCCCCTCCCCTCCCCCTTCCTCTCCGTGACCGCTCCCCTTGCTCCTCTCCCTCCCCCTCCTCCCCTCCCTCGCCACCTCCCTCCTCTTCCCCCGCCACTTCTCCTTCCCTCGTCCCACCCTCCCCCTCCTCCTCCTCCCCCTCTTCGTCCTCTGGATCCGCCATCAACCGTTTCAATTTTCGAGCCATACGTCGTATTTTGGATCCAGGCGAGGGCAGTCGTACAGCCAGTCGTGCGACTTGGCTATCTAATTGCTTAAATATCGGACGGGACTTGACAAGCGAAGTGATCGCCGCCTCATCGTTAAGCCTGATTGCGGGCGAGGGTGACGGTGAAGGGGGAGGGGAGGGCGTGAGGGTTCCTTCTGCTCTTCGCCGCCTTCAGCTTGACTTCGTACTACTACTAATACTACTACGACGACTACTACGGTTCTCTTCGCATTCCCGCTTTATTACACGACTCTTCTCTTTGATCTCGACGGCTAGGCAGTCATTTCGCTGTTTCTCCTCCAGACTTGGCGGCCAGATAGTCGTTCGCAATCTAGCTGCCCCACGTGGCCGCCGCGATGAGCGGTGTACCCGCTACGTCACCACCGGTCAGTAATTAGGAAATATTCCTGATGCAGTTCCTGATCCGTCTATCCCTGGTGTATCCGCGTCTATCTCTGGTATCCGCTTCTCTCGTCTGTGGTTCGTCTGCGGTTCGTGTTCCCTCCCCTCTCCCCCCTCAAACGACGACACAACCCCCCCGGTAAGTAACACAGCGACGGATGTGCAGCGACCCCCGTCACGGAGGGGCAGGGGGGGGGGAGCCGCAACAGGGTCCCCTCCTCCTCCGCCTCCTCCTCCTCCGCCTCCTCCCCCCCCCTCCTCCTCCCCCCCCCCCTCCTCCGCCTCCTCCCACCCCCTCCTCCTCCCCCCCTCCTCCTCCTCCTCCTCCTCTTCCTCCCCCCCCTCACATCCCTAGTTACCTGTACACCTCAAACAGCGCATCCGCCGCAAACGCCTCTTCGCTGCTTTCAAAGCTCTCCACATGCATGGCGTCCTGGAAGGTGGCCCAGGCGGCCTCAGCATCACCCGCCCACAGCCACGTCACCACAGCGCCTTCGGAGGGTGAGGGGATGGGCGGTGATTGGTTTCGGATTTGGATTTGGGGGGGGGAGGGGAGGGGAAGCGGGCACTGGGGGAGGTACAGAAACGGACCTGCGGAGGACCATTAGGGGTGAGGGGGCTAAATAAACCCTAGGTAAAAACACACACGCGAAGCCCCCGAACCCGCGCTTCCCACAGCTTCCCACAGCGTCCCACGCCGAACGACATAAATTGGAAACAGGTAAGACACCAAAGATACCAGAGATCATTATTCACGTACGACAACGTACGACAGCTGTACGGCGACGTTGGACACCCAAGTTATTATAAGGTGTTGCTTACCTAGGTACGACTTGTTTTGCGTGTTTCGCGCTCCGACTTTGTCGGACAGGGCTCCGAACCTCATGAGCACTTCCACGGCATCCGCCCACCGCTCAAGTCGAAGCAGGAAGGACGCGGCCGCGCGGAATGAGTCCACCGCGTAGGCCTCCCGCTCGCTGCTTTCGTACACGTCCAGGGCGTCGTAGTACAATCGTACGGCCTCCTCGGGGTCCGGTTCCTCCAGTACACGTGCGCCGCGTGTGAGGACCTCTCCAGCTGATGATGCGCGTGGGGGTGTGTTGGGATGTGCCTTACGTGCGGCGTGTGAGGTGTGCAGTGCGTGTTTTTTGAAGAGCAATGTGTAAAGAGCCAATAGAAATGTGCGGCGCTGCAGACTATGTGTGTGTGTGTGTGTCCATACGCCTCGCGCCCCTAGCACCTTTACCCCCCTACCCACACCCTCCGGCCCCCCGTCCACAAGACACGCCTCTCCCCCCCCCAACAAACACACACACCCGTAGTGGGTTTTCCGCACTCTAGGTAGTAGTCGGCCGCCATTTTGAAGTACTTGGCGGTTTCTTTGGGCCTGTTCTGCTGCCGGGACAGATCCGCTATCACTTCGTAATGCTTGGCAGCATGCCACTGAGAGCCCAGTCGCTCTTGCGCGTGCGCGGCTCTCTCATACGCCTCCAGGGCTTTGTCGATGTGGCCGAGTTGCTTCAGTTCAGGAAAGGCAAGGCAAGGGAAAGGGAAAGGCAAGAGAAAGGGAAAGGGAAAGAAAGGGGGCAATGTGGGAGTGAGTTGGGTAAAGTACGGGGACAGGCAGAGATTGGGGGGAGTTGGGGAGGTAAGGAACACCCGGAGTAAAAAGAAATGGACGCAGCGAACGGGCGGTGCCGGAAGAACGGTGGCTGTAGGCTGTGGAAGGATGTACGGAACTCTCACCTCAAAAAAATTAAAGGCACATGTGTGTATGTACATATCATATGTATTTGCGAGGTTACAAGACGTTACAAGCAGCTCTGGGGCTCTTTGAAGGTGAGGTAATGTGGGTGGTGGCGAGGAGGAGGAGGTAAAGGCTCGGGCACAGTTGGCATTGAGTACTTTCAGCATAGCTTGGGGGGTGATGCTTACCTTGTACAGCAGAGCCGCTTTGTCCAGCATGGGCGCAGCAGCTTCCCAGTCGGGCTTGAAGCGCAGCTCAAGCAGTGATGGCGCCGTTAGACCCTTCGCCTTCTTCAATAAGTCCTTAGCCTCCTTCTCCATAGTCAATGCCTTTTCCTTGCTGATTATTGAATTCATGGCGCTCAGCTGCAGCGGCAGGGGCCGTCCCAAATCGCCCCAGCGTAACAATGTGAGTCAGCCTAGCACGTGGTAAATGGTCAACGCTGCTATACAGCTCCAATGATCTTGTATGTCACTATTTACCAAATTCGTGTTAGTCTGGGTTTGGCTTGTCAATGAACAGAGTTGCAAGGAAACGCACCAGACAATCCAGTTTTCAAACCATAAGAATGAAACAATGTTCTTCTCCTTGCTAACAGACCCTCACCATAACGTGTGCCTCTAACTACCCACGTCTGTTACCTGTTGGGTTCCGCATTTGACAGTTGAGGTGGTTGTATCTCCTGTGCCGCGCGTGAAAATCTGTAACGCTTCAAAACCCTAACCAAGGAATTTGTTGTATCTTTCAAACAATAAGGAATCTGCATTCTGCATACAGCCCTTCACTATTGAACCGCATTTGAATATTTGCTTTTGCTGCTGATAAGCCTGCGATTCAGCTCAAAATGACAATGTGACAAAGATTATCTGGCCATGGAGCCGCAACGTATGCTGCTTGAGGAGGCTGCAGACTGGGAAATGTCGGACGTGAGCTTGGCGGCTGGCAATCCCAAGCCCCCCGATAAGCAGCGCCAGCCCCTGGGCGACATAACAAACTTACAGGCCTTGCAAACGCGGCCGCGCATTAGCCGTATGGCAGCTGTTGTTGAGAGAAGACTGATGCGCTCAGCAGCAACAGCAGCAGCAGCTGTCGCGGGACACCAGCTGGCAGCGACTGCGTTAGAGGAACTCAGGACAGACCCTCTCCAACCCGCAGGCGAAGCAAGCGGCTCCCGTGCCGAACCAGATGCACGCATGGCTACGGAGACAGTCGCCAACACGGACACAGACGGGGCCCCACAACATCTTGACCCGGCTGGCGCTGGAACCCCTGCCTTACTGCCAACCAAGCGCCGGCGCTCGGGCCCTGGTTTTGAAATCGGCGCATACGCCCATACTTCATCTGGCATGAAACCGCAGCAGCAGCGGCAACAATCAAAGACAGCAGCAGCAGGTCAGCGGGAAGGTGACGCGGATGAAGCAGCAGAGCTCAGCGGAGAGCCGCCGCCGCCGCCCCCGCCTGACTTGGCGCCCCTACCCGCCGCAGAACCATCAACGTGGCAAGGAATGGGGCCGGCTGCGCCGCCTCCAGCGCCAGCGCCGTTAACAACAGCACCACCACCACCCGCACACCACCTGGGCTCCACAGTCCCCGCCGAGGCCCCCATACATACAGCTGGTGCCCTGGCACTGGCCTTCCTGACACGAGCCATGGAGGACAGCGTGCTGCGTGGTTTCGGCATCGCGATTGACGACAGCACCCTGCCAGCAACCGCGCTCGTCATATTCACCCGGCCTGGTCTGCCCTTTCGGTTGCGGCTGGCGCCAAAGACAGCCCCGGCACCCGGTCCGCCGGGTGCTGCTGCTGCTGCTGCTGCCATGGAGGTGAGTTTAGAGGCCCAACGACGAGGGCTGTGGGTGAAGGCCAGCCTGGACCACCTTCAAGCAGCGTCGCGACTCCCCGCTGGGGATATCTCTTCGGTGCAACAGCTTGAGGAGCTGCTGTACTACTTGAGCGCTTGTCGCATGTGTCCCGGCGATTCGAATGAGCGGCACCTGGCATTCGCCGAGACCTGCGGGGCAGAGGGAGGGTGCCGCCATGACGGCCGCCGCGAGGGCAGGGTCGTGTTTGACGGGGAGCCGAGCCTCACGACGCGCACGCTGCTCCCGAAGACTCTGCGGGGCGCGGAGTGCAATCTTCTACTGCCGCCGGGATGCAGTTCCCCGTGTGGCAGCTGCAAGGCCGCCAGCCGCTACTTGGACACCCGAGTTTGGCGTTTCTTGAAGGCGAAAGAAGGAAAGATTGGGCTGTTTAAGCTGGTCAAGGCAGGGCTTTTGGCGGCAGGACGGCAGAGTCGTGATCACGGGGGGGTCCTTGGGCAGCGGCGGGCTCGGCGTTTGCTGAAGAAGAAGCGCCATGCACAGCTGATCGCAAAGGAGAGCATAGTGGGGAAGATGACGAAGACGAAGAAGACGACGATGATGATCACGAAGAAGAAGAAGTAGGTGAAGGGTTTTTTTCAGCGTCCTGATCCTCTGGAGCGCTACTGTGCGGAATGGGATGGGAATTGGGTAAATGTTTATGGCGTGTGTCTGTGCGCGCATGATGCCGGGGGGACATGATTTAGCGCTGTGAAATTGCGCCCTGAGGTGTGCTGAGGTGGGTGGGTTTTCATTGGCTGGCTAAGTATTATTTGCGTTATGGCAGGTTATGCTTTAAAGGGGCGCGCGTGTGCGGGACTTGTGCGTTCTTGTTGGGTCAGGATGTATATGTGCACAATTGTTGTGGAGGGCTGAAGGTTGAAGTTGCGTTACTTGTGCGATAGAAAACAGACATACCCGGGAACCTGGTCCGGTGTGTCATGATGTGGTGTAACATATGCGATCATTTGGGATCGCGACGCGCGCGTGCGTACAATACGTACGGCCAATACGTACGGCACGTAAATATTCTTTTGGAGGATCGCAACTGTAATATAGTAATCTGTGTATCTGTCTGTATTTTAGGAATTGAGCCGGGAAGGGAAGGAAGGAAGTGGCGATAAGGTTGGCATTTGGGGCTTACCTGACCGAGGGGCTGTCGAATGGCGTTGTCTATGAGGAGTGGGGCCGACATCGATGGCGGTATGTGAGGTAATGGCTAATGGGGAGTGCAGTACCTAGTACCTTGGACAGGACGTTGCCGCTGTCGGCGGTGGTGGAGTCGAAACGATTGTGCAGATCCGTCTTTCGGATGTGGGTAGAAGACTGGCTTGCTTGCTTGATGATGGTGGTGATGATGATGATGCTTGCTTTCTGTAAGGTGCATGCACTGGTTTACCTCGGCGGGGAGATTGGCAGCGCCGTGGAGGAGGGGGGTTGAGGGAAGGGGGGGTGATGGATCCACCAATGATGTACTTCCAGTGCGAGAAATGGTAGGTGCGGTGCGCGGCTATTTGGAAGGTGGTGGGTGTACGGCTACGTGCTTTTCTGGCCGTTGTAGTTATATAGGTTGGATGCGTGCATCGCATGCGGCCCCCACATCACGCCACAACAGCGACGTATCTGGATGAGCTGCCGCTAGCTGCTACACTAAAGTGCATCCCCATAAAAGCACCTTTGGCAGCAGGTGCGTGTGTATGTGTGTATTACACCTCGGTTGCGTGACACAGAGAGGTGCAATGAGCGCTCATACGAGCCAGAAGCCAGAGCCAGAGGCCCAAGGGCCTCCTAAGAGCCAGGGAGATTCACGGAGGGGGGTTATTTGTGTATGGATGCGCATGAAAGCTGTGTTCGCGTCCCAGCCTTGCGCCTTTTTGTTGAGCTGAGTGGCGCCTCTCGCGCGCCTCTCGCTTAGCATGGCTTACAAAGTCTTCTGCGCCGCACCGTTGCATAGCTAGGGGCTGGGAGAGCGCCCCGGCTGGCGGGAGGGAGGGAGGGAGGCGCGTGCGCGGGTGAACTAACGGATGTGACCGCCCGGCGGAAGAACGGGAAAAGTCCTGCAAAAGTGCTAATTCGCCGCATTACGTATCATCATGGTGTCTATGCAAACCACCTCAACTTTTAAACTCAGCTTAGCTCCTGTCATGTTTTATTTCCGATCTCAACATTCATTACTAGTAAACATACAGTTGGGCTGCCAACTGCTGCTGCTGTCTGCTGCCAGCAGCACTTCACGTCGGCTTCCAATGCTGTTCCGAGGGTATGAAACAGGCGGATTCAGAAGGAACTTCCGTAAACTCCTGTAAACATGGTGTGCGTCTCGTCACGTCACGGGATGACACGGGATCAGAGCAATGTAACCTCATCAGATTAAGGACGATGGTAACCTCGCTTCTATGACTCCATAACGAAGTACCTGGCGTATAGGCATCAGGTTCATTGCTCGTACTCCTCAGAGCGGGCATTTCGCGTAATAACCAAAGACCGGGAGCCAGGCAATGGCACGGCACGTCGTCATGGCTTCCGCGACGGACAGTGGCAACCTGGGGCTGCAAAATGAAGGATGGCAAATGGCAACGTTTAAGTTAGGTTTTAATACATGAAAGCTCGTGATGGCTATTAAGGTTTGCCTGCAATTGCAACGCGGCGCGATTCGAACGGCTCTTGGCAGCCCATATGCAGCCAGGCAGAAGCTTTGTAGAATCTCGCAAGGAAGAATGATGCTTGCGCAAAAATTGAAAATATGGCCTCATTAAACACAAAAAATGGCCATATTAAACCACGTATCGCCGGAATTGCTGTTGCGGAATCGGCGCCGTACTGCACCAGTCATGTTGTACTAAGGATCACGAAAACAGATGTCAACTAGTCAACTGACATCCCTGGAGATGTTTTTGGATCAACGAATCAGGACGTCAGGGTGTGTGCAATAGTTGATGTAGCATGTAGGCATTGGATTTTCAGCTGGGTTACGACAAGCTAGAAACGTCGTTGAGACGCTTGCTTCCACCAGTAGGCGTCAAACGAATACCTAAACCTTCTCTAAACAAGGAAACGATGACAGCTCGACAAGGAGACTTTCGCGGTTTACTCAGAGTTTTCTTTCTGACCTTGTTGGTGGCGCTCGGTGCTTCCGCTCCGTTTTCTGACAGCATTGCTGCAACGGCAGTTCCAAAAGGAAATGCAGCATGGCTATATCCTGAGACTCAGCAGCAAGTCGACGATTGGAAGGCGCAGTTGACTACTTTCAACCTGGCCGCTGGCGCAGAACGGGCGATTCGCGTACTCTACGTCTACAGCACCGATCTGGAAACGACATACAGTGAGCATTACGCATGAGTAAAATGAGCAATAAACCGAGTTTTTCGTAACTTTGCAAAAGCACGTGTCTATATTGGTTTCAAAGCCATCATTAAGCTTCACCATCATCGCTCCTCCTTATTAAACCCCATCCCACCATCGCAGCCAAGCCCGTAATTGGAACACTGGCCAAAACAGCGGTCACTACCTTGCGCGGCATCCCCAACGTCACCCATGTCGCCGCCATCATTGACGCCGACCTCACCGCAAGCTACGCCAACCTCAACAAGCTCACCACCGCCAAGATCAACGCCCTTGCCGATGCCCACGCAAGACTCTACTGCGAGTCCTCATTCGACGGCATTCAGCTCGACTTGGAGCCCTACAATCCCACCTATAAAAACTCCGTCCTTACCTTTGTCCGCCGCCTTTCCTTGGATCTGCGAGATCCCTCATACTGCACAAGACCCAAATTTATCGCTTTCTTTGTAGGGCCCCGTCAAGCTGACGCCACGCTATACGGCGCCCTCGGTCCCAACGGCTACGCTGTGATCAGCGGCTATGACCTAGACTCCCCCGGCCCCGGCCTTCCCGAAACTCCCGAACAGTATCGCATAAACCTCAAATCGAACGTCAACTTCGTCATCAACAATGCGAATTCGACGTACGGCAAATTTTCAATCGGGCTGCCCTTCGCCGCTTCCGCCTGTGAATTCGAGTCCGGCGTGTCCCTGACCGACCCATCTAATATCATCCAGGGTTATCCCATGTACGACCCCGTACGGCCGAGCTACATTCCCTCCGCCTTTGACGTACTGAACCAGACAATCGGTTCCAGCGGCCCGAGTCTGACTAGTAGGTTTTTAGGTGTGAGTGTGTGGGGTTTTCTCAGTCGTGACGTGAGAGTGCTGGGCTACCGGCACACGCCCAAGAATGTGTTTGACACGCCGGGAATGATGTCGTACATGGCGGCAAACATGCCCCGAAAGGCGGTCATGCCGCTGTCGTAAGGCCGGGCCAGCTTGACAGCAGGCGACCCAAATTACAAGAGCATGGCGTACAGGCGAGATTAGCAGGGAGGGAGGGTGATCCTGGTTAGCTACGTATATGTACATACATTTATGTAGGTGTGAATGACTATGTATGCATATATGTATTACATATTGAGCCGGGCCTGACGCTGGCCAGGGGCACCTAACCCGGTACCCCGACGTGAACGACCGCCGAAGCCTTCTCCCCCTAGCGGGAGGGGAGGGCCGTGAGGGGTCCCCTCACAGTCACCTCCTGCTCGTCCGAGGGCGCGCGACCCGGTGTTTCTACCTCATGTAATCGATGATGAGAGAGCGCGCGGTGGCTACGAAGGCCCTCAAACAACCAACCTCAGCACACGCTGCGGCACAGTCCCGCCCAGGCAGTCTGCACCATCTGCAGGTGCGGCTGCCCACCCTGGGTTGGTACTTGCATCACCTGGGGCGGTGCCTTGAGCTCAGAAGCAGAACCCTACAAACGTGGCTACCCTCGCTACGATGTATGTGTGAGAGCCTACCTGGTTACTTAGACGGATTTAGCGGCTAGTCCACTTATGAAGGTGTTGATAAACACCGGGGGTTTCCCTTGGGGTTTTATAGTCGCTTGCAGTCCGTCTGAGGCGCTCGGGATAAGATACCGTACAATAGTAGATATTCCTGCAGAAGAGAGTCGCACCTTCAAGAGAAGAGTTACGATACAGGTCTGGCCGTGACGGGCAGACATGTGCAAGATTGTGTACGGAATCGAGTATGTGTACGGATCGTTACAGTCATAGCCGTAGCCATGTATTGCTTGGTACGGCTATAGTCGAAAGGTGACTAAAATAGTTGTATGTACTGTGTGTACGATATTCACCTCGACGATGGAATGATAAGAAGGAATGGAGTCCCTACTCGGAAATTTCTTAAGTCCTGAGCCAGGCTCTTACAGTATGTATGACGTTGATTGCACTGTCGGCTGAAAAGCCGGGGGCCCAGGGCCGAAACACAGTCGGGGGCCCGGACGCACACGGCCAGTTAGTCTCATGCATTCCGGCCCTGGGTCAGGCAACGTTAGAAACGACGGCTGGCGCTAAACAGAACTGGCTGTAGGCCAACACTCCTCGCCCAACACTCACTCAATCGAGGACCGCTCCATAAGCACCCGCACGAACAAAAACTGTGTAGTCTCTTAAAAATCCACTTCGTGCAACCTTTCCCCCTGCCACCAACGCAAGCCGGTGTGCTGGTAGACGCACACATATATACATATACACACACGTTCCGTCCCTCTTCGCCTCTGATGTCCGCCCCGTCCCGATACATGCAATCCTGGACTCGCCATGGACAGTTCAAGTCCCCTACATATGCGTACATAGGTACATGCAGAGATGCATAAAACATAATGAATACGGCAAATCATTCAATTGAACACGTTTGCTTCTACATGCCGCGCGGGATGTGTATGACGCATAACGGCGGCGCACCCGTATAAGTGCGACAACGGGTAACGACAAGGGCCATCAGCTCGACAGCGGATGGTTGGCACGACAGTAAAAGCAGCACTTGGCGGCCTCTGAACGACGACAGTGGTGGAGGCCCTGCGTCAGCAGCAACGCAACGCAACGCAACGCTCCTCACAACCTTTCCTCGGGGTCAACACAACACTCGGCACTGCAGTGGCAGCAGACTACAGAGGCGGCGACAGCGACCTTACTACCTTTACTTCCCCATTCAACAAACCAAGGCACGAGAGTACCAGACGCCGAATGCCTCCGTACCCCCTATTCGAGGTACATCCTTCATGGATGAATATACGACGCGCGCGTGACCCTTGCACACGCATGTATTTATACACACAACACACATACATACGACCGCGCTAAGCCTCCTCCTCATCATCATCATCATCATCATCACCATCGCCATCGTCGTCTCACCACTCAACATATGCAGCAACGCATGGATAGATACACGACAAATTTCTTTATATATGCATTTTGTGGTGGCGTTACTTCGACATACAGCAAGCAACACAGCAAAGCAAACCCCCCGGACAGTGCACACTTCCAGCCCTAGCACACTACCGCCGCGCAGAGCGTCCTCGGCTACCCGCAGGTGACGGTGACGGCGGCGATGACGGCAGTTGTTGCTGTTGCTGCGGTGGCGGCCCGCCAGCACACCTTGCACGTACCAAATCGACCCACTCCTTGCGAGTCACCCGCCCGCGTCCACGCGCAAACACCTCACCCTCCCAGCCATTCCGCGTGAGCCAGTCCTTAAGCTCGTCCACCTGTTTGGGGTTTACAGGAGTTACTTTTACAGGAGTTATTTTTGGAGATTTCCTCGCTGGACTTTTGCGGATTAGGAAAGGGAGAGAGAAGCTGTGACAAGGGTTTTTCGTGGGGCTGCGGGCGGCGGCAGGCGCAGGAAGCCAGAGGAAGACCTGGAACGGTGCACAGACATCAAGCGAGAAAAAAAACGGTGTGCAGTGCACACACGGACCGCACCCGCATTCACGTTGCGACACACGTTGTGCGAGCACTCACGACATACACGTGACCACAAAGCAGTGCAGGCAAAAAAGCAAAAAAGAAAAAAGAAATAAAAGCAAGAAAGGCATACGGTATACGCTACATGCTCGTCGTCAAGAGCATAGGAGGCCATAACGGCGAGCATCATTCCCGGCGAAGGATCTGTTCCCCTCCGCGAAAGGTTTCCGTGGTTGAACCAAGAATGCACGCAGAGAGGACGCAGAGACAGAGAGACAAAAGCACATAGCCCCAGAAAATATCATAATTTTTTCGTATACTACCCAACAAACCATAAAAACCCTAAGGTACACAAAGCAAAAATCGCACAAAACCAAAAGGATAAACGACAGACACGCGCACGTCCTGTATCGCGGCTCGGATCAATTAAAGAAACAAACGAACACGAACACGGACAGGGACAGCCACAAAGAGGAGGTCTTGCCTTCAAAGAGTTCAGGTTGGAAGGCAGCGCGGGCGGCAGTGCACCAGTGCTCCCCGTCGTCGTTGCGTTGGTGGTCGCAACCAAGGCAGCAGCTGTGGGGCCCGTCCACGCAGCCGCGGGTGTGGTCGCAACAGCCGCCGCCGCCGTCATGGGTGTGGCCGTGGCCGTGTTGGTTACGGCGGCGCCACCTCTCCCGCCACTAGCCCCCCCTGTCCGAGTTCAAGTTCGAGGTCTTCTGAGTAGTGCTGAGTATAGCTTAAAAAGCGTGTGAGGTGGCGCCGCGGCCGGGGGAGGACTGTACTGTAGTGTTATGTGAAGGAAAAGAAGAGGGAACACCAGCACACACACTCCCGACCCGAGAAAAAAAGGAAAAAAAATTACGTCTGTCTTGACTCGGATTTGAATCCAACCAGATGGCGGCCCCAGACAAGAAGGCAGATGGGGACACGGGCAGGCAAGATTGCAATTTATAATATAACGATCGAAACATGATTTTAACATAGTTGAAAGAGGACACCCACGCGAGCAACAGAGAAAAAGAAAGTGTCACCTAGTAGGTGGATTATGAGGCACGGAGACGATGGTGGCGGTTCCCCTCTCCCTCCCTCCCTCCCTCCCTTCCTAGAATGACCTACCTCGCGGCCCCGTCCGAAGCACTTCCCGCTCCACACTGTACGGAGTTCCTTCCCCACCAACACCAGCTCCTCCAACGGCCGCCACCGGCGTCACCGCCGCCGCCGCCGCCGCCGCTGCTGCTGTAGCAGCGGCGCGCCGCTGCCGCGCCGGCTGTCGCTCTTTCACCGTGCCCGCTGCCGTACCCGCCATCTCCACCTCAATGACGCCATTATCATCACTACCATCATACCCACATGTACCGCCGCCGGCATGATCAAATGGGCTCGGCCCCGCGTCAACCATCTCCGCATCCACCTCTTGAGGTCCGGGTTCCTCGTCCATTCCCGCCGCCGCGCGCCCGCGCTTGCGCCGCACGCCGGGCGTCGCAGCCGCCGCCGCCGCCGCCGCCCCGGCTTGCCTGGTTTTGCGCGCCGCCGTCGCCGTCGCCGTCATCGCAGCTCCTGCTTGTGAGTTCCTTAGCTGTTCAAGGCTCGCCTGCAGGAGGTCCCTTTCCTTCTGAACATGCTTCAAGTTGATCTCAGCGGCGACCAACTGGGCGGATGCAGACCGGGCTTGATGACGAGCCTGTGTGGTGCGGTGCGATGTGATGTGATGTCAAACACGGCGGCGCCATGGAGGATGGATGACGTGATGCATGGAGCATGACGTGATGCATGGAGGATCCTTCTCCCCCTTCTCCTCCTCTTCCCAAACAACGGGGAAGACACCAATACACGCACACGCACACACACACCTCCGCCTCCGCCAACCTTGCCGCCTCCGCCGCCCTCCGCCCACTCTCCGCCTCCGCCGTTCTTGACGCTAGCAGCTCATCCAGTGCCGACTGACGATGTTCCAACGCCGCCCGGTCCGCAGCCGCCATCCGTGCCTCCCCCTTCGCCGCCTGCAGCTGCGCCTGAGCAGCAGCTAGCTCAGAACGTAGCCTGTATGGTTTCGGGGGGTTTAGGGTTTTTTGTGGGGGAGGGGGCACCACAGCAGGATTGGGGTTTTGATTACGGCCGTCAATAACTAACGGCCGTTGCGGCTGCCGGATGTTCAGACAGCGAGTGCGTCTTGCGTTGGTGGGGAACTGGGGCGGTGAGCAGGCAGCAACAGGTGGTGGTGGTAGCGGTGGTGGTAGCGGTGGTGGTAATGGTGGTGGTGGTGGTGGTGATAGTGGTGGTGGTGGTGGTGTTAGTGGTGGTGTTAGTGGTGGTGTTAGTGGTGTTAGTGGTGGTGTTAGTGGTGTTAGTGGTGGTGTTAGTGGTGGTGGCTGTAGTGGTGGTGGTGGCTGTAGTGGTAGTGGTGGTAGTGGTAGTGGTGGTGGGATCCGACGCGCAAATCGTTGTGATATATAAAGGCTTCTGTAACGGCGCAGGGGCAAACATATGCAAGTCGAGATGTACAGCGGAAATGTACAGGCGAGATGTACAGGTCGTCGTACGGTCGTACGGCATAGTCCCACCTACCTGGCTGTATCGAAACCCGCGGTTTCCGTTTTACGTCCCGCCAGCTCGACTCTCGCCGCTGCCACCTCCTCGCGCAGCGCCGCCGCCGCCTCTTTGCCCGCCGCTGCGGCGGCGGCACGTGCAGCGGCGGCCTCCGCTACCGCCGCCGCCTCCGCGCTGCGCGCCGCCGCCAGCTCCCCCCGCAGCTTCGCCTCCGCCGCCAACGCGGCGTCCAGCGAGCTGCGTAGCGCCGTTGGCCCTTGAGTCACCTTCAAGTACGGTAATAGTACGGTAGTACGGTTGAAACCAACACTTCCTGGTAATTCTTGGATTTACATTACGAAATCCTAGCGCACACAATTTGCGCATATTTGTATGTTCTAAAGAGGATGCTAATATAGCGCCAATCACAACAGCTGGTAAGAATTGTTTCAGCGTGTCGTGTCATGCTATCGCAATACGATTGTCGGCGAGCCGCAGCCGCAAACACGGCGACTGACCCTGGGGCCCCGCCGCCCCCGCTCTCACCTCCGTCATCTTGCTTTCCAGCTCCGAAACCCGGCCCGCCGCGGTCGCCGCCCGGCTGCGTGCCTCCTGAGCCAGGCGCCGTAGCTCCGGAACCACCGTACCCGCAAGAAACTCCGCTGCCTGGCGGTGGTGTGGTTTTGCAAGGTGGTCAGAATGATCACACGTGATACAAAAAAGAAAACAGAGAATCGCTGAAAGCTGCTTACATCCGAATGCAAAATTTCCCATGCAAAATGGCGGTGGTGTCATGGTGGTGGTGGTGGTGGTGGTGGTGGTGGTGGGTGGCAGTGGTTTAGATCGGGGAAGACAAGTCAGCACAGGGGGCCCGCAGGCACGGGCACGGGCACGGGAAATGGGAGGAAAAGAGGGACGTAGACGACCGATCGTGGCGGTTGCGGATGGATGGACAGACGAACAGACGAAGGGGCCCAGCGCGAGGGACGAAGGATGGACGAAGAGGAGGAGGAGGAGGAGGAGGAGGAGGCGGGACCCATCATATCTTTAATACATCAGCGCCATCTATGACTTGCTCAGACAGACAGACAGCCAGACAAACAGACAGACACAACGTATCCTTAACCCTTCCCCCCCACACACACTGCTCACGGCTCAGGTGATAAAAACACACGCATACGCATACACACACACACTACCCCGCCGCCGCGCCCACCCCTAACCCCCTAATCCCCGAGCGTGCAACACGTACTCGGATGTATCTGTCGGGTCCCAGCCCGGCGTCATTGCCGTACTCCCGTAAGAAGTCGTGCAATCGTGCTTCCGCCGCCGCCAGGTCGCTCCCCTCCTCCCGTATGGCCTGAAGGAGGTCAAGGAATGGGAAGGGTAATAGGGACGCGCGCGTGTGTGTATGTATGTGTGAAGGGGTTGGAGGCGAGGTGGGGCTCCCGGTGCTGGGGGACCCCCCGGGGGTTATTGGGACTTAGGGTTTTATGAAGCATGCAGGTGCAAGTGCAAGTGCAAGTGCAGGTGACGAAGCCCGAAAAGCTTGGAAATATCCGAGGAGGGGAAAGGGGAACTGGTTGCAGGATTTATGCGCAAAGTTACAAATGACATTCGGCAATTGCTGACGTCCATGTATACCTATAGAGGGGTTGGGGCTGAAGGGGACCGGAGGCTGGACGCCGAGGGGAATTACGTGTGGACGTACGTTGACGACAGCAACGTACGTTGTCGGCGTGCCGGGAGTTTTATGTGTGTTTTTTTGGTGGTGGTGGGGGAAAGAGTGTTCTGGGGGAAGAGGTGTGGGACTTCACCCCAATTTTCTTCCTCCTCTCCTCGTCTTTGCCCCCGGCTTCCCCCCCTCGCCCACCCCCCCTCCTCCTCCGCCTCCACAGCCATAGCCCCCGGGGGGCCACTCCAACTGACCGCACGAAAGCTCCTAGCCTGCGCCCCCAGCAGCTCCACCGCCCTCGCCTCCGCCTCGGCCCTCTTGGTCAGACGCAGCGATGTCGCCAACGACGTCGCCTCCTCACGCAGCCGCCGCAGGAAGGGCTCCCGCTCGCAGGTTCTCCTA